TTGCCTTTCCTCCTGCAAACGTTCTATTTTTAATAATCCCTGGGGTGTCAATGGCAAAATCACTTTTCAAAGTTCTCCTTTTGATACATTTTTAATCAACTTGACGATAGCATTTGCAAGTTGACACACTGACTATAAATCTGGCAACGATTATTCCTTTGTGTTGTCCAAAAAATTACCAAGCCATTCACTCTGCTTCTCCCTTCTCCACGAAACTTTGTCCTCGTTGTGATTTGGCATGCATTCAAAAAGTTTTACACGATACAAAAGCATTTTGTTCTGCCTGCCAGCTGACATTGAAAAAAGTCGCATATAACGGATGGCAATCAACGCTGCAATTATGTAAGTGTGTGTTTTGTATGGGGTGAGTGTGTGTGTGTGGGTTGTCGCCTGTATATTGAACTTGCATGCTGACCTTAGCCTGCTTTTAAGCCACATTTCAGTTGCTTAGTCATTTTGGCACTAGAAGTACAGGAAAAGTTCAATTCAATGACTTTTAAAAAAATTGTAAAATAAAAGTAAATTTTCTTTCAAAGTCAATTTTTATGGTAAAAAAAATAATGCATAACAAATAATGTTTTTAATTTACAGGCCAAGATACTTTTTTATTTAAATGGTCAAATTATTTAGATTAAGAAAAATATGATTTCCTTTTTAATAATTTGTAAAAATATTTAAATTAAATGTCCAAGTAAATGTTAACTAAATTTTCAAAATTCAATTTAAGTTAGTTCTACTGTACCCACAAAGTACTGCATGGCAAATGTGTTGCATATTTTTAGGATCCCCTCCGATCCTGCCCTCTCTTTCCAACGCTCGATGCAGCCCTCGTCCATGGCCACATCAGCATCGGCTTTAGCTTTAGCTGTGGCTGTAGCTATAGCTTTCTGCCATAGCTTTACCATCGGCAGCGGCTTCAAAGTCGCGTTCAACGTCAAGTGGCCCACTCGGCATTCCACTTGAAGCGTAATGAAAGCATTTTTGCCACTAACACATGTGAAGAGGCAGTCGACCAGGGAGAGTGGGAGAGGGAAAGGCATAGACTGTGTGAGTGAGACGGAAGGCCAGTAGTAAAGAGAGAAGGGAATAGGGAGGACATCACTTGCTTAGCCTTAGTGTGTGTGCGACATCAGATTGACACTTGTCAGAATCATTTCTGTCTACACTACAGCAAATTGTGGCCCCGAAGGCTGCGAACAAAAAAAATGCTGGGAAATTAGCCAAAAAGGACCAAAATAACACAGAATTAACTTAGCCATCCCTACCTTTTGCAGTCCTTCTGTCCGAACCCCCCAAACTCGATTACACAAAGTTCGAGATCTGTGTAATTCCATTAAGATTTCTGTCTCATTGCACAGCAGTGTCAAGTTCATTTGTTTCCACAGAACTCTGCAGGTTGTGTGCCACCTGGCTGCCCAAGAACAATAAAACACATTAACACCTATTAGAGGGCTGCGAGGGTTGAGTTTTGGGGTGAAAGGGGAGTGAAAGGGTCCTGGCCATTGTGCAAATGGGAACATAAATAAAAGCGACTGTCTGCCAAGTTATGAATAATAATGACAACAACAATGGAAGCGTCGGAGAGAGAGGGAGAACAGGAAAGCCAAGCTAAACTGCTTTAACTACGCACATACGAGGGCAAGATTATAGGGTTTTTAAAATAAAATAGGTTAAATTAGGTTTCAATTTTTTTGGGCAATAAAGATGAGTTTTTTATTTTGATACCCTTGCAGATCATTAATGGGAAAAATATTATGGATACGTTGAAATTGATCGTGTTCCCTCCTACTCTCGGATAAAGCATTCTTATATTATTTTTGATATTTTGAATTTTCAGTAGGACGACAGTATTATATAGATGGTATAGACATGATCGAAAAATTAAAATTAAAAGAATACGGAAACAGCTATAGTTTGTATTTCAACATATAAGCAAGTATATCTAAGTTGAGCATTTTTTATTACTTTTTAGATTAATTTTGGATTTAAAAGCAATGTTTTGTTTGGTTTAGATTTTTAGCTTATATTTTCTTGACCTTCCCTGTACGTTTGTCTACATGTGCGCAATGGTAATTAAGGATTTGGTCTTTGCCAAGGCAGTCCAGTTAAAATGGCCCGCCGCTTTGGGCCATTTTTAGGGTCATTGTGCAATGGGATGGAAGGACCGAAAGGGGGAAAAAAATAGAATCCTGCCGAGACAAAACCACACCTGGCTTTCTACCTGGCTCTGAGCTCTGAGTCGGGGCAAATGGCAAACAGGACATGGCCGCAGATAAGACCAAGGCTCAGCATGTGTGTGTTTGTGTGTGCTTACAAATCTCTGCGCTAATTAAAAGTCATTAGAGTGTGGTATAATTGCATCTAAATGAAATGGTTCAGGGAAAGGCTCAAATAAATCTGTTAGAACTTTAAGTTGAACCGAGGCGATAATAAAACCTTATCTAATTACGTTTTTATTTCATTTTCTTTTTAGGTAAGCAAGCAAGAAAAACATGAAAGTGAATTGCCAGCAAAGGTGTAAGTGCAAATAAATGTTTTTTTTACCAGTTTTAATGCAAATCCGACTAATGAAGAGGGACGAAAAGTTCAAAAAGAGCATTTTGTTGGCACATGAATATTTTACCAGGCAGTTTCATTAGCACTTAAGCCGCTCTCGAGTTCGAGTGTCCTGTGCGTCCTGTGTCTCCGCGCTGCGGTTTCTATAAAATATTAATCGGTTCGAGCCGCATTACAAATGCAAATGCAAAGCGAATGAATAAATAATGGTCGAGTGTGCGAAATATTAGAGTGAATTCGGCGCGGCGCACTAAGTGTTTGCCCGAAAGTTGCGATCGAATCGCAGTGTTCGTTTCTTCATAAATTTCTGCCTCATGAAATATGCAAGTGCCAAGCTGGCATGAAAATGGCGGAGCTTCCGCTGCAGCCGCTCATCCTCATCCTCCGGGTCCTCGGCCTTATCCTATTATCTCTGGCCAAGTTCTTTTTTTATTTTATTGTATTTTTTTCTTCTGTAAATCTTCCGCTCTTTTCTGTCCTCCTGCTGTTTTGTTTAAATTGTCAGTTTGCAAACGCAAAACGCCGTAGTTCCGGCCAGTGTTCATTTCGCTGACTTGGCCTGCAAATTACAGCCAACTTTTGTTCCTGCCACTTCCACGCGCAGCTCTCCCTTGGCCTTTTAAGCTCGCTGAAAATATCTATTCATGGCAAATATTTTACAGCAATTTTTTAATAAACTTGCCTAGCTGGCGGAATGTTTTTCATGGCATTCTGGATGATCCTTTTATTTGCAGCGACTTTATATTAGATTTTTATACTTGGTGATTTTTGAGGGTCCTCTCACAGCTAGTTGTAAATTGATTGAATAGGTATTTTTAGCTAAATAAAAACTCCCATGCACTTTGATATCAATGCAAAAATATTATCTATATTCTTCCTGCCACCGAATTTAAATAATACACGTGCCTTCCATTTTTGCCACTTTATCTTCCGCCACTGAGACACGCAATGGCCCCCCACAACACTTTATTATTTACTGCCATAATCATTTTAATGGCAAGAAGACAAGCCAAGCAATGATAATAACGAACACAGCACGATAATCATATTTATTAACATTTTAACTTAATCAGCATGGTGCCGTACGTCTTTTGATGTATGAATATATATATGCGCAATGGGGAGGAAAAGGAAAGCATCCTAATCAGTCAGGTGTTGTCAAGTGAGTTTTGAGTTTCCCCGAGTAACAAACAAACATTTTAATTCAAATTTTATTCAGCTTCCACTCAGTTAAGTGCAATATATTTCCACCGACAAACATGTGTTGGTAATTTTCTTTTTCTTTTCCTGTTTGTCATGCCGTCTTGTCATTTTTGTCTGTGCTTTTCATTTGAAATTTACTGATAAGAAAGTTTGTCAACGTTATGAGAATTTTGCAGGGCAGAAGAACGAACGAACGAAGCTTCCTGCGAAGAGGCTTCAACCATCATCCATCATTTTGTGGCCCCAGTAAAACTGCAGCTGCTGTGAACGAGACAAGCACTAAATGTATGAAACATTCTCATTTAATTGAAACAAATGCGTGCTGCGTATCAATTGAGGCAAATGTGTGGGTTCTTCGGATAGCACAACTAAAGAGCAATAAAAACTAAATGGCAACCAAAATGGGTTGAGCTTGTGTGTGGAACCATTTACCAAACAGAGCAACAGAGATGGCAATCATTTCAGGTGCCGCCGTCAATGGGGCCACATAAAAAAAAGAAAGGAAAGAGAAAAAAACATGAAATACATGAAATAAAAAACGCTCTATTTGCCACCCCCCTAGATTTGGTGCCAAGTGATATTAAAATCCATGTAAATTACACACAATCATCGTTGTGCTTACGTCTGCATGTGTGCCATAGCCTAGCGTGCCATAAACTGACACCAAACACGAGCATTCCGCTAGACCTTTTATGGCCTGACCACAACGCCAACGTTTGACACACTCGTTACGAATGGATACGTAGATATAATACCGCAGATAATGCCAGCGACGTGCTCTCCGAAGTACAAGTGTACCGGCCACATGGATACTACTATCCATGTCGTACGTATGTATACTATATACCATAATCATAGATTAGAGGATGCCTCGTAATGGAGAATAAAGTAAAACCAAATGGTAGATACATGCGATTAGAACACACACACAATGGACACAACTGCAGAGTACAACATCCTGTGAAACATTTGCAATAACTATTAATTAATATATTAAAAACAAAATAAAAGATAAAGTATGCTTGAAGCTACAAATAAAATGCTATCTTTCAAATATTGAATTTATTTTTTTTTGTAATTTTGACTCACGTATCAAGACAAATTCTCAATTTAATATTTCTCTGCCATAAAATAAAGTGATTGAACCCAAAAAAATACCAAAAATATTTCGTAATATTTTGTTCTTCCTTAATTTAAAACCATTCAACTTTTAATTTAATTTCATTTATTTATTTCTCTGTTTAACTTTGATAGCCACCGGAAAAGGGTGTGTTATACTGGGGCTTGTTGTTGAGATTATTGCTGCTACTGCCGGTTTGGGTGTACCAAATGCTTTGGGGTTTCTGGGCTGAAATAACGCCCGATTCGCCGGCAGGACCTCGAGGACCCCGTGGACCTGCTGGTCCTGCTGGACCCCGCTGGCCTGGTGGACCGGGTGGACCAGGTGGGCCGGGCACTGGAATGGGAATGTAGGCAGTGGCGGCGGGTGGCAAAGGCTCCTCCTTCTCGGAGGCCGTGGATTCATTGGGAAGCAGATTCAGACTGGGCCAATTGAAACCCGACTGTCCTTGAACATTGAAACCCAATTGGACGCGCGGCACCATCACAAAGGAAAGGGCATTTCCTCCTTGGTTTTGGTTGATTGCATTCTTGTTGGAGATTAACTGAGGACCATAGGCAGCCACCGGATAGGCAGCCACTTGGTGGGGAAGCACATACTTCACATTCTGATCATTGACCATGGGAATGGCATTCGAGTAGAGATAATCGGGCACCTTGCGACTGTCCTTATCCGGTTCGGTATCCGCCACTTCCTCCCTGATTTGCGGCTCATGGAAGGTGGGCTCCTGGTCATCCATGGATCTGGCCATCGCCTCGCCGGGCGAGTAGATCAGAATTTGAGGACCCATCGGTTCCTCAACATCCATTTCCAGACTACTGTGTCCCGATCCTATAAGACGGCGAAGGTTCGGAATACGCGCCTGAATGGCACAAACCAGGCCCAAGATCACTGTATACAAGGATATTTAAAAGACATTTAATTTAATTTTAGAAAATCTCTCCTTTCTTACCCAATATTTGCACTCTGCGATTCATTTTAGTCGACTGTTTACTCCTCGATTTCGGCTGGCCCCTTTTATACCCAAGTCTTTGACTAAGAATAAGATAAGATCTGCAGAAAGGTTCTTGGTAATGGGCAAGTTCAGTCATCTTGTTCGACCATCTCGTTGGTAATCAATTTTAACTGCCCATTTTAAGTGGGTCAGCGTGCTAAACTGGTTCGGTTAATCGGGGGATCTTGGCCATTGAGTCATTGGGTGCAAAAAAACAAACAACTTTCATAGAAAGACAAATTGCGCCCTTTTCTTTTAGGTTGTGAAATATTACAATTACTTTTTTACATGCTTTTTACATTTCCTAGAATAGCTCTTGTTTTAAAATGAATTTAAATAGTTGGAATTTTTTCGTTGATTGCTTGTGATAAATACTGTATATTTCAAATATTTGTATATTTCCAATAACACTATGCAGCATCAAAAATTAACCTCGACGAATGCTATATTTTTGGATTCGTTACGAATTCCCAAGTTAAACTGCGTTTTCCTAAAAGTTCCCCGACGCAAGGATTCTTAGCAAAAGGACCTCAAAGTTCGAAAAATGCTGAAATTGACAACTTTGCGGAGCTCTCAGAGGCAAATGGATGCATGGCTTGGTTCGAAAGTTTTTTAAAGATACACCCTTTATCTTTCAAACCCCATACATAAAATAATTTTAGGATTTTTTTAAGGCAGAAATAAATTCCAAAAACATAGTCAAAAAACTGAAAAACATACAGCTGCGGTCAAAGTAGTAGCAGTGTTGCCGCCTTGTGTTTTTAAAAGTTTGATGTTGTAATTTTTCTTATCCAATTAGTCTAATAGTAAAATTATAATCAATACAATATTACCAGGAAAAGATCAATTACAACAACAAACTTTTAAATACACAGGGCGGCAACACTACTACCATTTTGACCTCAGCTGTATACTTTTATGTTTTTTGACCATGTTTTCTAGAATTTGTTTCTGCCTTAAAAAAAATCTTAAAAATTTCTTAAGTATGGGGTTTAAAAGATAAAGGGTGTATCTTTTAAAAAACTTTAACATCGAATCAAACCATGCATCCATTTGCCTCTGAGAGCTCCGCAAAGTTGGCCAATTTCAGCATTTTTCGAACTTTGAGGTCCTTTTGCTAAGAATCCTTGCGTCGGGGAACTTTTTGGAAAACGCAGTTTAACTTGGGAATGCGTAACGAATCCAAAAATATAGCATCCATCGAGGTAAATTTAAAAAGCACTAAAAATGCTGCACAGTGTAATTCATAGATTTAATTAGAGGTTATGGTATGAACAACATTTCTCCTTAGCGATAGATTTAAAAATACCAAATAATTACTCAACCCTTGTTGCATTCCCATTCGTTTTTTGTTTTCCATTTCCTACTTTAAAAAACATTCATATTCATCAGTGAGACGTGTGGGCAACAGCCCAGATAAAAACCCAAATAATGGAATGCAATAATAATAGAAGAGTGCAGAAAAACAAGTACCTATATGTAAAAATAGTTTGTCGCACGAGAACGAAATTGAAAGTTCAGCATGAAACATTTTGGAATAGAAGCCCAACAAACGGGCAGGGGTTTAATTGAATTAAATCAAAAACAACTGCCATGCGACCCCTTCTGCGTTGTTTCTGCTTAGCCTGGGCTCTGGTCTCTGCTGATCCGATTGAATTGAAGCACCCGCATCCGCATTTGGGGTCGCATAGAACGAAAATTTCGGATTTGGAATTCAGATTTTTAGATCTCCGGATCGGTGGATCGAATGGTCAAAGCAGTTCAGCCAGTTGCGCCGTGGCGAGCGCTTCGTTGGCGGCTCCCGAGCGAAAGGATCGCATCGGTGGTCACTCGGGAGTCCTAAAAAAAACAGAGAGAAAAACTTTGATCGCGAATTAACCCATAGATCTATAGATCTATAGATCATGGCGGTACTTTGGTGGCTGCTTTTTGTGCAGGTCGTGCTGGTCCTACCGCCCAGTTACCACCTCGCCACGCCCTCTGGCGGCGGCAGCGGTCAACTGCGTCGCCTTTGGCTGCAGGATCATTGCAGTGCGGGCATCTGTACGAACGTCGAGATCGGTCGCAGTGACTATGTGATCCTATCGCAGGCCCCCATTTCGGGCCAGACAATGCTCACCTTCCTGAACTCGAGCATTGCCAAGATACCACACCTCTTGTTCGACACATTTCCGGATCTGCAAGTTCTGCGCATGGAGAACTGTTCGCTGGAGACGTTCGAGAAGCCGCAGTTCGAGGGTGCCAGCAATCTGATGGGCCTGTTCCTGGGACACAATCGCCTGAAGGATATACCCAAGAATATATTCCTGGGTGCCGATAATCTGGCCACCTTGCATCTGCAGGCGAATCAGTTGAAGCAGCTGGGAAATCACAGTTTTCATGCCCTGAAAGAGGTGAAGGAACTCTCGCTGGCGGAGAATCAACTAGAGCAGATTTCCCTCGGAGTTTTCGCGGCGATGCGAAAGCTAATGGATTTAAATTTAGCTGGCAATCGATTGGAGGCTCTGCCGAGAGGAATCTTCGATCGGAATTTGAACCTTACCAAATTGAACTTGGCCCGCAATCGGTTTACCGCCTTCGAATCGGAACTTTTGAAGCTACAGCCCGTTTTCACACAGCTGGATATTTCGGGAAACATCTTCCAAGAGCTGACACTCAACTTCAGTTCGCTGCAGGTGGCCATAGCTCATAGTTGCGATTTGAGGAGGCTAACCGTTTACGGATTGGTTCATGAACTCGATTTGCGCAATAATTCGCTGAGGGAAATGCCGCACATTCCGCTGGCCGCCAATGTGAGCAGCTTGGATTTGTCGCACAATCCGCTGGGAAATCTTCAGGGTAATCCCTTGCGAAGATTCACCTCGCTGCTGCGTTTGAATCTTTCGGCCACGAATGCCCACGAGTTGCCCGAGGGATTGTTCAAGAAACAGAGCCATCTGCAGATGCTGGATATATCGGGAAATTCCATATACTCGCTGAAGATTACCATCTTTGATAGTTTGAAGGCGCTGCAGTATTTCTACTTTCAGCAGAACAACTGGAACTGCGATTTCCTGCAATTGCTGATGAGTTCGTTTGTGAAACGCAAGGATATATCCTTCATGGAGGACATAACAGCACCCGAGCTGGTGGACGATTATGTGGATGGCATCGCCTGTTGGTACGAGAGCGATAAGCAGTCGAAGAAGTGCGAGTCTGGTGGATCGGATGCTGCCATGGAGCTATCGGTGGTGCGGAATGAGATCAGGACCTTCACCGAGTTGGTGGAGAAGAAGTTCATCAAGGTCTATCGCATGTTGGAGGAGCTGAAAATGAAGCTATAACCATATATATTTATCATAACCTATTTAATCTACCCCTATTTAACCAATCAAAACCATATTTAATCGCATATGATAACCGTATCTTTAGTTATTTGACACACGACAGCAACAAATGGATATTTTAAGATATGTTACTAGAACCCAATAAAGCACTATTTGGAACTCTAGGGAAAAACAAGTGTTTGACTAGAAGGAAAAAAATGAAGAAATGGATTTAAGTCTAATTTAATATGTTCATAATTAATTTGCCTCTCAAGTTTAAAGTTTTAATCTCGCATTATAAAATTGTTTCCCACTTCATAAGCCCATTAATATTCACTTCTTTCTAATTACCACATTTTAAAAATCTCTTTTTTTCGGATAATCAGTTTTGCTCTGCCAAAAATGTTTTCTGGCTGCACATATTTAAAATTCCTTTGTGCATAAACGTGAAAACAGTTTATCAGACGATAAATCCCTGGCTTCACGACCAGCTCAAAAATCGCATTAAAAAAACCAAAAAAATCGCTAACGCTCAATTTAATGCCATAAATATTTTATGCAAAACACGAGAGCGGGCCAGAAAAAATATTTATGCCATAACAAAATTTTTTTATTAAATGAATCTTATCGGCGTAATCGTGCATCGAGGAGACAGAGACAGACGCACTTAAAAACCGACAAAACTTAATTAAATGCAGGCACCCAGGGATGCGGCCACAAATAAACACACGCCAATGGAATTTTTTATACGGTCTGGCAGCGTCAATTGAACATTGCAATGATAATAATAAATACATTTTGTAAATGTTTTTTCTTTCCCCGCCGGACTATTTAAGAGTTTGTTCGGTACTACGGCATATAAACAAACATGCGCATGGGAATACCATTAAAATATGGCTTACAGTTGATTGGGCTGAAAAGTGTTTTTTGTGCCAACTGCCACAGATATCAAGTTGTGGGTAGATTTTTTGTGGAAACTGAATGTTGGTTGAAAACTTGGCGGACAATGCGGCGTCGATAGTGCTGGATTTATGATGATTTATGGATGATGCAACCCTTTCGTTATCGAACCTATTCCGTTTCGTGACCGGAAGAGAGCATTTCCAATAAGCATTATTTGCATTTTCAATGCTTTCCGCCTGCCATTTCGTTTTTTGGCCCAATCACAAAAGATGGCGTGGCGTCTATGCAAAAATGCTGGGAAAGGAAAGATGAAAGATGAAAGAAGCCATAAAGTATGCAGCAGTACATTTTAAAGCTTAAGCCATTAAGATGAAGCAGTCTCGTATGATTCTATCTTCCTCTATTGTGTGCGTGTGCCGAGTGCGCAACTTCCTCTCGCCCTCTCTGTCGCTCTAAGAGTCTTACTACGCTTGTAAGCAACTTCCGTTTCCGTTATCCGACGCGTCGTTTGTTCTGCCATTGTTGCCATTGGTGCTGCCGCTGTTGCTTCCTTTCATCTTCCCTGGATTCCTGGAATGTGACTTTACACTGCAATGAATTTTAGATTTCGATTTCTGTCATTTTTAAAATGCATATGAATTGTATACTGTATAATATTTAAATGGCTAATAATTCGCTACAATTAAATCTTAGTTTTCAAATTAATAATATTAAATATTAAATTAATTGTCTACTGTGTGTGTGGCGGAAGGGTCCGGGCAGACATTTAATTTACTACAATTCAATTTTAGTTTTTAAATATATGGGCACTTCCAAAAAAAAGTCCACCAAGCCAAAAACCTTGAAACTTGAATAAAACATATTTCCACATGATTTTGCCCCGATATTAGTTTCTA